TCAAGAGTAGCTATTTAACTAATATTCGCCATCATTTGTCAAATAAAGTCAATGTATATACCTATTATTAATATTATTATTATTATAACTTTCATTTCCTTCTTCGCCACTGGTTTCTGCATTGGTGCATAATTCACTTCAAATTAATCGAAATGCACTCGAAGTGAAGTCTAACAGATATCTTGAAAATGTGCCAAAGTCGACTTGGTCTCGCGAAATGTCTGCTGATTGTCCAGATAGTGAGAGTGTCCAGTGAAAATTCATTTTGGCAAAAACGATGGGATGAAGTTTTTCCAGAATGGGATCAATTTTTAGGTAAGATTCTCAAGCCAAAAGGAGAGTTTTATTTCGAATCTGCCATTTGGGGTCTTCTTTGGACACGTGAGAGTTGAAGTTGTTTGGCTAGGTATAAAACCATGAGAGTATGAAAAACCATAGTTCTATGTCTATTAATAGTACTGTACCAATATTGAAATATGGGTTACTGAAGGCAACAATATTCTGCAACTAGTCCGTAGTCCCAAGTGTTTGAATGGTCTTCTGCTACTTCAGATGATATCAAGTCAATTTCAGGAAGCTCCAATCATATTCCTGAAAAACGTAGTTGAATTTCCAAGAACCTGATAGATAATTTAGTAACAGAAACTGCCAACAGTACCTCGAACTAATTGTCATTTAAGGAAACATTAATTTATGTATTTCAGAATAGTCTCAAAGTGTGGTTGAACACTAAAATTCAAAAATATTCCCAAAATACCAGAATAATATTTAGATGAGTCTGAATTCATATTTCGACAAATAAGTTGCCATCATCCTCAGACGAACTGAAGAGAGATTAAAGATAAGCTAACTCTATAGTATTCTCCATTTGAACCCAATTGAGCCACGGTTCAGAGAACAGTTTTATTTCAATAAACATTGTGTCAAAGTAATAAGAAAACATTTTGGATGAGTTGAAATTGATTTAAACACATTCCAAATCATTTGTGCGCAACATGTCCAAGGAGTCTTGAATTATCTGAAGTGATAGAATCACTAGTATCGAATAATATGTTCTGCACCACTTGATTAATCTATCCAATTACATTCACCCGGAGTGATATATATATTCTTTGAATCTCGTTTATATGCTTCGACGTGTTTGGCCAATATATTTCATGCAAGAGTCATTTCAACTCCTAACCTGGCCAAAAACTCGTTATTATTAGTTCCATATTTAAGGATACCCATCAGAAGAACATGAATGGTATTTTTTTCAGAGAAGGCTACGGTCAGTCTTTGCGATTTTGTAATACAATGGTAATATCATTTAGCATTTGAAATCCCTAGCACTCAGACATAATAATATATCTTATTTACAGTTATATTCGTGAAACCACCAGTACCACTACTTTTGAAGTAACTACATCTGATGATTCATTTGACGCTTTCTGAAATACAATTGGAGAGATATAGTATTAGAGTAATATTGATAGTATATAGTTACTATATAGAAGTACTTACTTTTTTCCCTATTTCACCATCCATCTAGAATATCAATTCATTGTAAATTAGTAATCAGTGATAAGCTCGATCCACCTTTATTCTTCTCCTTTGAAAATATGTATTTCAAACAAGATGTCACTATCTATTGAATTTCTCTTGGTTGTGCATTGCAGTGACATTTTGGGTCAAATCATCTGATTTGCCCTTTGTACAGACCTACATTGGAACAATACTATTTTTTTTGTGACGGGAAAAAAGTTTGACATTTCATCTCTGTTGACAGGTTTTGAAATGTCACTTTTCATTAATTGCTTTTTTCTCATGGAAATCAATTTGTTCCTTTTTTGCCGGATATATACATATATAATACACTGTTGATGGCTCTTGCTGTGCTACAGTTCCAAATAAGCCAATAATACTGTCTCCGAGAAAGAACTGCCAGTCTTTTTATCTTCCATTCCACTTCGCGGATACGTGAATTACTATACTAAGTAAAATCACATAATTAGACTGACATATTTGATTACTTCTGAAAAATTATAAAGATCCCTGCAACGCAAGTGCAATTCCTGTTAAAAACTCATTTCTGAAAAACATTTCCCGTGGGAGTATCTATAGAAAAGGAATTACTGATGAGTGTGGCATCAATAACCTGATGAATGGCTCGTCTCTGAGTGGAATCTAGAATCATCAATTTATGTTTTGGGTGCTGAACTCCATATGTCGGAACAGTATTCTGAAACAGGCCGAATCTGATGTGGTTTGTAAATCATAAGAAGCTGTTGAGGTGTAAAGTAGTGGAAAAAGGCTCCTTGCACATTCCAAATGTGTTGAATTAGTTGAATAAGAAGAATCGGTTTGGTTATAGTAGGAAGAAGGTTTAGTGTGATTTTGTTTCTATCTCTTGGAGCGACTGAAATGAATCCCTATAACGTTCGAGGTATATCATGCGTACCTAATTATGTCAGTCTGTACACACTGTGTACAACTACATAATATCAATTAGGAGAAGTATTTGTTCCCGAGCGATTAGAAACCATTGAGAAAGTATGAATAATGTTTAAATCATTTCCTTTTCAACATTTTTTACTGCTACGATATTAAATCGAGCAAAGAGAAAAATAGGAGGGAATTCGAATATTCGATCAGTTTTTGTTCCACGTTGGCGATAATCCGTGATTAGGAATTTTCTACCTTCTCGATTATCCTATACAGAGTGTCCCCTTCGGAGATAGGGAGGTACTGTTTTCACAATACTTTGTCGTGAATCAAACGATTATTTTCCACGGGTAACAACTGAGAAATAATATACAACTGTTTATTCAGAAGAACCCTGCGTTCGAAATTCTAAATGAATAATAAGTAAATAAGAAACTGAACATTTGTAAATAGAGAATAATATTTGTTTCAACCAAAAATTTAGATTCCTTTGATATCAGAAATTCAAGTTTGATGGTGAGTGTATAATCTCAGAACGTCTCCTTCTTTTGACGGCTCTGAACTTATATGCTAAAACAGCTTTCCATTTCACAAATCTTTGCGCCTAATTTTCAGTTGCAACAGTAAAAACTGAAAATGTTTTATCTGCATGTCTAATTTATAGCTGCAAAATTTGTTTTAGGATACCAGTTTCAAGCCGTCGTATATTCTCGACCTGAAATATCTATATTATTTCGTTTGGCTTGAAATATGTCTCTGAAATTAATTGAGAATGTCAATATCCTAATATTTTCCATCGATATTATGAATCGGTTTGGAATTTATTCGTGAAGATTTGAACAGAAAATTTATAATAATCGGTCATCCCGATTACTATGAAGAAGTTACAATTTCATTCATAATTTGTTTGATTGTTATTTTTATGTCGCATTCATAACAGATGGAAAATTGGTATGTTTCAATTAATTTGTTCCATAGATCAGTTGGGTCATTCAGAATCTAAATAATCCGATGTAATATAGACTGAAAGTGCAATTACGATTACAACCAGATAGTATTTCAGAGGAGAAAATGACGCATGGGATAGTTATGTCATTAGTTTTCTTTTATATTGAGAAATGAAGAATGATTCAAAATACCCTTGCAATATTTCTCCAAAATTATGTATTAAACATCACATCTAATACCCTCAAGATACATTTACGGCGTTTTTTACTGGAAAACAATAACTTGCGTAAACTTTTTATAAAAATCTTCTCACAACTAACCGTTGTGACAGTTTTCTTCCAGTTAAATAGTGCCAATGGATACGAATTCATCAAGCGGCCAAATATCACACTAAAATTGTGGCATTATTTTACCATATAGTCATATAGATTCAGCTTTTCTCTATCTTCTGGTGGGTATAACTCATTTTCCAAAAATGTTGCAGTTACGTCATTATTATTCTGGAACGGCGATATTAAAATACGAGATGAAATTGTTGTTTCATCCATGAAATAATGAGTGGAAAAATCTTAACAAATACAACTCGTTTTATTGATGATTATCGAAAATCCCTTCTCTTCTTCGAAACCTCTCGCGCTATGTGCTCGTTTCTAAACAACATAATTTGTTCCTGAATAACTTAGGAATTTTCCATTGCTCTTACCATCAATACACTTTTGTTGTATTACATACGGAAACATTTTCAACTTCACAAGTGGGAATAAATATGCACATACGTTTACCTACGGAAAATTAAAAACAAAACGTTTCTGTAAAACCCACAAAAGCTGATAAGTATTCCGTGATGGTTTCCCCATAATGAAGAATTAATAAATATATAATCGATGGCATTATATAAGTGATATCAATTTATTCGCAGATACAACAAATTTCAATTCTCCGAAATGGACTGGACAGGATAACAGGTAAATCCCATATTTAATACGAAGAAAAACAAGTTGAAGTTGAAGGAAATTTATTTTCTTACGACATCATAGTTGTGAAAAATATCGTATATACCTCGGTATATACCTAATAGGTGAGTAAATGTAATTGTAATTGTAGCAAGCTCACTATCATGAAATATATGGTACTTCTATATACATACTTTTTGAATTGAAGGCTGAAAATTATGACAATTCTATTTTTTATGTCATACTTCTATTGACATTTTCAAAAATGGTAATGATATGAAGCTTTCGCATTATCCTCGTATTTATATTTTTACGTTGTTTACCAATCCATTAGAAGTTACCATCAGTAGTTCATCCATCCATCAGAAATTACCTTCAGCGTAAAAGTGATTGTCGATCTTGGGTTTAATTGTGAAATGATTGAATAATAGGATTATTGAATGCTTACGCAAAACACTTTTTCGATGAAAGTATTGTGGTAATGGTCACTACCCCATATAAGTTTTCAAAAGAATAACTTGAAGATTATAATATTCATTTTTGATCTACTTATCTATACTCGTTTTTCTGTCCCGTGGTCTAGATGTTTTGAATGAAATAACTGAGTTGAACTTTTGAAGTGTAACAAAACCGTTCAGATACGACCGTGTTACTAAGTTTCTCCAATGCATTTCCAGATTTGGTACTCAATATAGTGAAGATGTACGATTCCTTACCAATGTTATCACTAACGTCCGGGACCAAGGACAATGGTACCAGTTACCAACGAGTGCAGAAGAATATCGGCCATATTATGGTTATAAAAAAAACATCAAAAGTGAGTACATATACCCAAAACCAAAGGCTACAGATGATTATAATCTATCAAAATTGCGTATACTTCAACGAACGTATGTATCTGTGTAAGCACCTCGAGGAAGTTTTGAAGTATACCTTTTCCTAAAGTGCGTATAGGTATGAACTATGAAGTCAGATGTAAATAACATGTCGCAGTTGGGCGATGATAAGACATCTGGTCACTTCTGCACATTCAGAAAGAAATGAGCAAAAACTTTTGTTTGTGGTAAAAAAAGGTTAGAGGTTAAAACTACTTATTAAATTGAGATTGTATTTTTTTTTTCATACAACGAAACAAACTCATTTTTCCTGTTTTGGAACTAGGGTACACAAAGATCTTCTTTATTTCCCCCTACCCTTTCCTACACATTGATTCTGGTACTAATTTGTGTCTTTTTTATCCCTTGGAGCATCCGGAAGGTAATCCCTGCTATTATATCGAAAAACATCGTGTTAACCTCAGAGAGGATAAAGAGGGAAGGTATGTATTCGATCCTTTTCGAACTTTTCGGAGATTATGAGTTATTGATTGGAATATTTCCTTCTGCAAAACTATGCCGTTCTATGGACAAACGAGATTTGGTAAAGAGTAGTTCGACATATTTCGAGATTGACAACGACAAGATGTGCTGACTGGGCTTGTCGAGTACGTCTGACTGGTGTTGCTAGTATTGGAATGATAGCAGAGACTTCTGAAGAAAACATCCCGTGGAAGTATCTATCTACCCCATTACAGACGATGTCTGTCGCTATCGCTTGAATGAGAAGCCGCTTTTGACTCAAACAAATATTTCATCAAAGGTGCATTGTACGCTAAATGTCCATTTTTCCACATTAGGAACGATGAAAAATTCTAACCATTGACCGCTGTTCACGCTTTGGAACATTGGGGAATATTTGGTTTACAAAGTAAAAAAAGTTGTTTATTCAGTAAATTTCGCTCGTAACTGTTGTTATATAACTTGCCAACATACCTGCATTCTTGTTATTGTTCAATATTCTTGCTAACTCTCAAAAAACGCTTGTAGAAACACCTCAGTCGCTGATTTACCAATTATGATGAAGCTGCTGTTTCTATCTCTAATATAAGAGTACATATTATAATATGGTGCCTTATGTTAGTTTTGAGCATAGACCTCATTGTTCCATTTAAGGAATAGTGGTCGAAAAATAATTAGATTCATCTCCGAAAAAGAAAAAAAAATCATCCGGAAACAAGTTAATTTAGACTATTTTCTCAATCTCAATAATCTCAGTTATACGTCATATATTTTATCATGCTTATATTATACACCCTGTATATCAGTGTTCACTTGTTCAGTATTATCTACTCGAGAGCATGAAAAATAGTATGGAGCAACAAATGAATGAAAGCTCATAGAGGTGACCAAAGTTGCTTATTGATTCAGTGATCAACTGAGAACAAGCCGTATACAGGGTGTTTAAAAAAAACCTGACCCCCTAGTAGGGTAGGTAGAACAATGCAAAATAAGTTGGGTTCGTTCAGTGAAAAAATGTCGTAACGGCATCCATTGAAAATTGTTTTTTACGAATATGTCGAAACTACTGACAATATTGTGATGATTCACCTCTATAGTATATGCTTAAGATACAAAGAAACTGTGAAATCCATTTTTTTAGTCAAATTTGTTTCAAGGTTATTCTTGTGATTCATTGTTTGATCGATAAGTTCAGCATTAGTAATAGCTTTATGCCAGCAACAGTTATTACTTCATCATTTTCAAATCGAAATATTCCAAAAATGGAACAAACAGTATCGAGTTCTACCCAGAGTACCTTTTTGGTGTGAATTAGAATGGTGTTCAACTTCACGTTGAATCCGGATTGAAAAAAATAAACTCAAAAAAGTTATGTTTGGAAGTACTCGGTATGAACCGTGTAACTGTCGCCCTCTATGAGAGTCGAAACAAATTCATGCGATGAGTCAGCTTCCAAAACACATCCATACAAACTTTCATTACAATGGTGCCCCCTAGCAAGGGGGTCTGGTTTTTTTGGAACACCCTGTATTGACCTCTGCACAATATGCACATGAAGAAACAAAAATCGCTTCATTGTCCATTGCAAACTGCTCAAATTATCCATTGAAAGCTCCTGATATTGATTTTTTAATAGATTTTGGAACCTTCGATTTCATCATTGTTGGAGCTGGACCTGGAGGAAGCGTCGTAGCCAATAGACTTTCAGAAGTCCCGGAATGGAACATACTCTTGATAGAAGCTGGCGATTATGGAGACAACGTTACCGATATTCCCAATATGTATTACGAAGTCGAATTCACTCAGTACAATTGGGGCTTCAATAGTGTTCCTCAAACAACAGCATGTCTAGGTAAGAACAAACAAAGGACACCGCACGTTTTATAGTGAAAATTAACCCCCTGTCGAATTAGCTGAATTTTTGATATTTTATAGTTCAGGACATTCTGAACAAAATGTCCGAATACCAAACTGAATACTTCAAGTAGTGACTCATCCTATCAAAATAAAATATAATAATGGCTCAAAGAGCATTATTCATCAGGAGAAAATAAATCAAGATTGAGACTTCAGCGGTCTCTAGCGCCAAAACTAGCCATTAAAACAGTTTGGTATTCGGACATTTTGTCAGAATGTCTTGGACTATGAAATATCAAAAATTCAGCCAATTCGACAGTATAGGCCAATTTTCCCTATATCACGTGCGGTGTCCTTTAATCTTCGAATACGAAATGAAAATCGAAAACAAATTTCTCTATATTAATTTTTCAAGGTATGGTGAACCAAACATGTCCCATGGCAAGAGGTAGAGGAGTAGGAGGTACTTCCCTCATCAACGGTCTATTGTACGCCAGAGGTTCCAGCATAGACTTCGACAGGTGGGCAGACCAAGTCGAAGACTCAAGATGGTCATACTCTAACGTCTTACCAATTCTAAAACAGCTAGAACGCTTCGTTTATACAGACCCGCAAGCTCCAGTTGACGAATCCATCCATGGTACAAGAGGAATGCAGAATGTCGAGTACCATTTGCCTAGGAGTCCTCAGCTGAATGCCTGGCTCGATGCACATGAAGAATTAGGTTTTCCCATAGCTGACTATAACTCTGGCACTGGCCTTGGAGCTTCTCCAGCGCAAGTCAATACTATGAATGGGAGGAGAGCAGACGCTGGTTCTTCATTCATCCTTCCCATCTTGAACAGACCTAATTTGAAAGTCCTCACCTACAGCTATGCAACCAAGATCATCATGGATAAGGAGAAGAGAGCCAGAGGAATTAGGTTCACGCACAATAATAGATGGTACGAAGCCAAAGCTTCCAAAGAAGTCATCATCAGTGCTGGAGCTTTCCAAACACCTCAGCTACTTATGCTTTCTGGTATTGGACCCAGAGACCATCTGGAGTCGTTGGATATAGAAGTTGTGCAAGATTTGGGGGTTGGTAGTACTCTCATGGATCATGCTTGCTACTATGGGTTGAATTTCGGGACGAATTATACGGAACCGATATTGCCATTGGAAGAGTATGTGCAGCAATTTGTGGCAGGTCGTGGGCCTTTGGCAGCACCAGGAAATAATCAGGGAGTGGCGTTTTATGAATCGCAGTTCACCAGAGGTAGGATTATAAAAAATATTTTATTTCTGACAGTGACATTATAAGCTTATATCGTCATAGTTATGATATCTATTATGAGGGTCATAACTCCCTTGGGATGTTATAGATGCTATAATTCCCTCTAGCTAAAATTAAATAAGAAATGCATAGCAACAACCACGCAATAACGTAGTAATAAGGAATCTCCTATTCGCGGTAGTCAAGATCATCATCTGACGTTCTGATGACATTGAAACTATATGGAAAAACATGTCTAACTTCCAATCGGGAAGGTATCTAATGAATGAAATCAGTCAGAAATAAAACTATCTATGTATCACGGGAATTATAGAGCCTCAATAACCTCTGGCAATTGCTGTCCCTCGGGCCAGAGGCCCTCGGGACACAAACTTTGCCATTGGTAATTAAGGCCCTCATAATTCCCTTAATACATAAATAACTATAATGTAGTTTTTACCCCAGATGATAACTGATGAGGTTTCGCAACTTTGAATAATTTTTTTTCGTAATGCTTACCTTCTCAAGAAAGCTCCACTGTAGTAATTTCTTTACGGTTACTACCAAGGTTTCTACGACATGTCGCTACTTTCATTAGTCACATATAAGTTAAGTACAGTTTTGGTCATACTTTTGGCGTGAGATATTTTATCATATTATTTCGTAAGTTCCTGATACGTCGGCAAATCGTGATAGATTCGATTGTGATTTGTTCACCATTTCGTTCATGATCGTAACTATGTATTAATAACGTGATAATAACTATAGGGTATATCGGGCGACCCTTGTAATCTCTGCATTCGTAAATGGATTTTTCTGGGATTGAGGAAAGATATATGAGCAACCATTTCGGATTTCATACCATCATAATCCAATATGACGGACTTCCAGTTTTTCTGGAAATGCCAGCAACTTTGTTTTTTCAAACGGAACACCCTGTATTTAAAAGTTTCACATGCTCAAGTTGAACAGGTCAAAACAAGTGCAATCTTTATGTCAGATGGCACTTTTTACGAAAAAATTGAACTTGATATTTGTTTTTCTACAAGCATGCGTGATTCACCCTCTACCCGCACGCAATTTAGTTTGGGAAGTGTCATTTTCTCGCGGTAGTTCGGGAAAAGTTTCCTCACACTGAGGCGGGAAAAACATTCATATAGTTCGCGAGATTCACGAAGTGGGCGACATATAGGTTACATAATACGAACTTCAAACTGGGGAAAAACAAACTGTTGTCTATGGATAAAGTGCATAGACTACATTGCATACAGCTTGCTGTAGCTGTAGTTGTCAAACATGTCAATGACACGCAGTGTTGGCACTGTTGGTAGTGGTGATGGATGAGTTGTTAATTTTTTCACAATATTACATTTTTATTAGTTTAGTGGACATTGAACGGGTGAAGAATTGGAGATAGTTCAAACAATTCAAACTAATTATGACGAGCAAATCAGAAAAGTACTGCTCAGTGCAATAATTATATTTCGGAAAGTGTGTCTATGCATTTTTTTTTCAAAAGATCCTAAGCTAGCTCAACAATACCCAGATTGTCCTGCTTTGCAGGAACAAATCCAAATCCATTGTTCTACAAGAGTTCCTCTGGACCCCAAGTTCAATTTTACTTTATGTGGGGAAGATTTTATTGCCGAAGTTTGTAGACAAAGTGCAAAAATTTGCCTTTTGTTAAAGTCTGCCTCACACAAAATCTCATGATTAGCACGGAGAACTGCTTCTCCTTCCACTACTGGTCGGCTTTATCTAAATAGAGCAAAATATCTGCCGAAAGAACATCTACAACAGGCATTATTAGCGATTTCGTTCGAATATTGACAATGAATGTCAAGAAATTTGAAAACTTATCACTCTTATCAGTACACAGAAACAAGCTAAGGGCACTAATGGGATTGAGTGAGGATTGAGTTTGTTTTCCCCCAGTTTTGACGTGGCTTTGAATTGGAACGATGCAAACCGAGCGCCACCTGGTAACATTGATTACCACGAATATTCTCGCAAATATGAGTGGTGGCACTAATGGGATTGAGTGAGGATTGAGTTTCTTTTCCCCCAGTTTTGACGTGGCTTTGAATTGGAACGATGCAAACCGAGCGCCACCTGGTAACATTGATTACCACGAATATTCTCGCAAATATGAGTGGTGGGTGACACAATATGAGAATTTCAGTATTTAGTAAGTTTTTACAAAATCATCCATCAAATTGCACTATTTATTGTGAAAATGAAGAAATATTGAAAAATAATAATTGATTATTATATGAATCCACCTATAGCCTGTAATTGATGTGATGTGGAAAACATCTATTGTTGTCATGTCAATTAAAACACAAATTAGTTAGTGTAATTCTCATAGTGACAGACAGAGCGTCACTGTCATTTTCGATTCAATGGAATTGCGATGAAAAACTTCCAGCTACAGATGCTATACAGATGAGCCAACGAAGTCTTAAGAAAGGTATGGGAAGCACTACACGGGATTTATTAAACACCAAATGAACAAGAAGTATTTTTGGCTCATTTCCCAGAAATATCTGAAACCTATATAGAGGCCAAACACCATGATGGGCATTCTGGCTTCCGCAATAAGCCTACCTACATAATGCTCCAAACGCTACACACAATATAGATATATTAGAAGATAGAGAATGTTAGTTGTTTCTATTTGCAGAAATGATTGATTGAACAAATCAATCAATTTCCTACGCTCCTAGAAAAAATATTGCTCCTAACTCATTCGGAAAGTGTCTTTCCCGCACTCGACTGCTTGCCCGACCTCCGCTTCGCGTCGTTTGGGTCAACGGCATTCGCGTGCGGAGAAGTATCCGCACTCGTAAGGAAAATTACTATTCTTATTTCACTTCGTGGATGAATGAGATGAGATATGCTTTCAGGTACTGGATATCCAGACATCGAAATAATGTTCATTCCATCCAATGCCACCACCGATCTGTCACAGAGAGCATTCTTGCTAACCGACCAAACCTACGCGGACGTATGGGAATTCATCAGCAGACCTCAGTCGTTCATTTTGTACATCATCTCCCTACATTCAGAATCAAGTGGCACAGTGAGACTCAATAGCAGTGACCCTTTCGCGTATCCACTCATCGATAACAGATTTCTTTCTGATCCTGCCGGCAGAGACATCGAGAGGATTTACGAGGGAGTGCAGATCATGTTGAAATTGGCTGGGACTGAAGCTATGCAAAAAATTGGAACAACCCTACAAGGTAGGTATACATACAGTCACTTAAAATATTGTTACAACTACTTGTACTACTTGAAAGTGGAGGATTCATCTGTGAATAATGGAGTGTTCTCCAGATAAACATGTCATAATTCCACAGGGTAAATGGTGGATAGATTGATCGATAAATAGATAATTTATTCGTCTTTTAGATGCATTCATAAGAATACAAATAAGATACGTCACAATATACATATAGCTCACAAATATTACAGAAACCAAGTGGCTAAAAACTAGAGATTCACAGATGAAGTGAAAATTTAAACCTAAAAAAAGTTTGTACATACAAACATACAAAGATAATATGAAAAGGCTACGATGAAACTGTATAGAAAGTAATATATAAAAATGATATATGAGAAATGATGGTTATCTATTTTGTTAGGGCAGCTATAAATTTCCCAGTAGCATAATATACATTGAAGGTCAAATATGCATGCATATGTGTTCTTTGAAACTATTGTAACTCAATGATTTGACGTGGGTAGTAAATATTCACATTGGGAGAGTTTTGACAGCCTCTAGTGTTTTAAGTATATGGAAATCAGCATTCTGAGAGACTGAAGCAAGTATATCTAGGAAACGCTTACTCGATAACTAATGACTTTATCAGAACTTACTGACAACCAGTGATCTCCTTCAATATTGTACCTCTCTTCGTTTATTTCTGTATATTTCTCCTCTCCCTATATTTTATTCTCTTCCTCTTTCCTCCTTCACTCTATCCCGTCTCTTTTAATTCTCTGTATCTGCCATTTATACCATTATATATATAATATTTTCGTGCTTTTCACACTGTAATCCTTCTTCTGCCACATGTTCAAACGGTAAAACTACGGTGAGACTAATGACATGTTGTCTATTCGAATTGATTACCTGATGTTGCTTCTTGGCAGACCTATAATATTTATCATTATTCTTTTTTGTTGGTTTAGATGTAATATGAGCTACTTCAGTGAGACTGAAGCACATAATATCTGGAAAACGCTTACTCGCAAACTCATCACTTTAGCAGAATTTATTGACATCCAGGAATCTCCTTCTGTGCCTCTCTTCGTCTGTTTCTGTCTTCTTTTCTTCTCTCCATATTTTTTTTCCTTCTCTTTTCTCTTCACTCTATCCTCTCTCTTCCACTCCTCTTCTGGATCTGCCATTTCAACTTTATCCATATGTTTCCCAGCCTCTTTAATTCTGCAATTCTTCCTCAGTCACAGGTTTACTCTATACCTTTTCAACTTCAATTTCGGAATCGGTGAGTTATATTTCGGAAAAAGTGAAGAATTGGTTAGTTCGATTTCAGAAAAGGTAAACTCAATTTCAGAATTGGTGAGATGAATTCCAGAAAAAGTCCATTCAATTTCAGAAATGGTAAGTTGTATTTCAGAATTATTATTGGTAGGTTCAATTTCAGAAGATGAAATCCCTTTATATGTTAGAAATGTTTTTAATTGCAAAAGAGAAGATTGTTTACAGTGGATGAACGGTGTTTGAGAGCCCTATGTTGAATCAGATTAAACATAAATATGGGGTGCCTTCAAGTCAGAAGTGAAGAGCTTCTTGCAAGAGCATCGCCAAAGGGTCATAGCTGGGGATCCGAACAGCTTGCTCAACCAGATAGAATTCAGACTGCGATGTCTTGAGGAATGTGCAGATCATTCAATGAAAATGATAACACCTCAAATGTGTTTTCATTCTCATAATCATGTGCAACGCTATTATCTACCAGCGATTCGGATGGAAGGCATCAGTGGATTGAATTGAGATTATAATTATGTTATTGAATTGTTTTTGACAAGTTGAATATTGTAAATATGGTTTGTTAATCTCACATACAATTGGAAACATTTCGAACAAATAAAAGGATTTTTTTTCTGAAATTGAACCTACCAATTCTGAAATACAACTTACCATTTCTGAAATTGAATGGACTTTTTCTGAAATTCATCTCACCGATTCTGAAATTGAGTTTACTATTTCTGAAATCTAACTAACCAATTCTGAAATCGAGATTACTTTTTCCGAAATTGAAGTTGAAAAGGTATAGAACTACGGTGAGACTTATGACCAATGAAATTATGACTGTCTATTCGTATTGATTTGCTGATTTTGTGTCCTAGTAGACATGAAAAACGGCGAGAGAGGTTGACATAATAATATTTTAATGGCGGATGCATGCAACATTAACATAGTCCTAGTCTTAGCTCTAAGCATTGGCTTAGTATTAATTTTTGTCTTAAAGATTTGAGGTATTTATCCAGAAACATTAAAACTTGATTTAAGCATAAGAGTCATGTGAGAATTTGTGGTTCTTTTTGTATCGGAGATGAGAAAAATTATCTATCAAACTTATCAACATCTGAGCTTCCTCATAATATTATTTTCGGAACATGTAATCAACAATTCTATCAAAGGAGCATACGCCGATTCCACATAACATAAGCATAAGCCATAAAAGTTCAAATTAATCAACCTTCAAGGTCGTTTCTTAGGCTTGTGCTTATGCTTAAGACTAAAATTGGTGTGTGAACGTCCTCAAGCGAGTACATTGTTTCAACTTCTAGTTATGCTTGAAATTATGACTAAGACTATGATTAGGACTATGAAAATGTTGCATAACTCATTATCCATTATCCATTATCCACCATAAATCATTCTAGGAGGCCCATTGACAGCTTGTAGCCAGTACGAGTCCATGTCGAGAGAATACTGGTATTGCTCGATCCGACAAATGACCATGAACATCTACCATCCGGTGTCTACTTGCCCCATGGGTCCTTATCCCGATAAAGGTCATGTGGTGGACTCGGAGGGTCGGGTGCATGGAACGAAGAGGTTGAGAGTCGCTGATGCGAGCGTCATCCCGTTTCCTCAGTCTGGACATCCGGTGGCGCCTATAGAGCTAATTGGAGATATGATTTCTCAATTTATCAAAGAAGAGTATCTGTACAGTAGATGAGGTTTAGAACGTATTGAGTCCCTGAACTTCACTCCAACATTAGTGATTTGAACCTATGCCCTGTTCCTAGGATGGCATATTTTCAAATTTTCTCATACAAAGGACCCCGTACTGAACTATAGGGAAAATGGCTCTCGATGAAAATCGCTGAATTTTTGGTATGTTGCAGACTTTGATATACTGAACAGATATTCCATTGAACTAACTAAAAAAAATGGACAGTTTTTCCGATATTGTCCTCCAAATTTCATTTTTTCAGGAAAACAAATCTCTGAAAATGGCTGAATTTCTGGTATGTTGTAGATAGGAATGAACTGATGAAGAAACCCTATTGACCTAAACTCAAAAATTTTTTATAATAGATGGAATGATCAAAATAAAATAGATATATGGCATAAATTCGACTAGTCGTGTGTATACCTACAACCCCATTGACTTCGGAAAGACTATAACCGAGACTATCACCATCTTTTGAATAATATATATTTCATTACATCCTCTCTTCGGCTTTCGTCACCTGTGGATGTACCTATCATATGAAGAAGATTTGTTTTTAGAAGAATGAAATGCCAAATACTGATTCGAAAACAGTAACTTTGTTTATTCATTATTGTTCCATTCATCTTATTTCCATACGTACATTTGGAGGTCAATATCGAAAAACTGTCGATTTTTTGAGGTTAGGTCAATTGAATTTTTCCATTAGTTCATTTCTATCTACAACACACCAGGAATTCAGCCATTTTCAGAGATTTTTCTCTTCTTGAAAAAATCACATTTGGAGGTCAATATCGAGAAAACTGTACATTTTTGGAGGTTAGGTCAATTGGATTTTTTCATCAGCTCATTCCTATCTACAACTTGCAAAAACTTCAACCATTTTCAGATACTTTTTTTTCTCGGAAAAATGACATTTGGAGGTCAATATCGGAAAAACTGTCAATTTTTTGGTTACTTCAATGGAATATCTGTTTAGTTTATTAAAGTCTGCAAAATACCAAAAATTCAGCGATTTTCATCGAGGGCCATTTTTCCTATAGTTTAGTGCGGGGTCCTTTACACACTATATTTTGAGATCGAATCGCAAAATTTATATGGCACTCTACAAAGCTCAATTTCCACCATATCCTCAGTTCTATTCTCATTTTTTCCACGAAAATTCTGCAAAATATTGAAAATATGATCCCTTAGCTCTGTAAAACGAATATAATTCTCTCAGCATAGGTATCACTCAGTCAATCAATAGGTAGATGATATGCTATCGAATATTTTTTGTTATCACAGTTAAATATGAGTCTGAGCAGAAACTACGCCTGTTATTTCATCGGATTTTGAAAACATAAAAAACATTCTATGATCAGAAATATTTTATGAATGAAGAGAACCTTATTTTTGGTGGAATAAAAATGTCTTGCTTCCTTGAGTTCAACTACTAGTTTCATTGAGATAGAGACTGTACTTATCACGAGTTTATATTTCAGTTATTATGAAACTCCCATCATAATTAGATTGAACTAGGTGGTAACCAAAATCATCCAGTCAGTCATGAAATAAGAATAATTCATTTCGTAATCCATTTTCAATCGATGAGTTCTTTCTCATTCTTCAAAAGCGTTTCAAATGCTGCCTCTGTTCCATTTTATTTGAAACTATTGTTCACACATTCAGTCCACGATCTCAAATATCAACCATGATTGAGTTCGGAAACAATCTGAATTCGATGAAGTGAAACATAATGTGATTTCATTCAAAACAATCATTTGAAAACAAAATGCACTAGTTCGTTCCTTATTATATTTCTGAAATCTGACAATAAATGGCAGAGTTACTGCTTGCGTTGCTGCAATATGTTTAAAGACAACCAGTGTATATAAACCATCTGAGTTATTCACTTTCTTGTTATTTCAATCATTTCACTAGTGTTATAAACCATTTCTCATATTTCTATGTTGAAATTCAGAACTTTGTACATTTTGAAGTTGAATTAATAAAAAAAATCAATATAGAATATTTCCTAACTAGTTTCAAAATATGATGGTTTACTCTCCTCTCGTTACTGAAAGAAACTAAAAAAAAAAATCGAAATATTAGAAGGTTGAAAACATACTTAGGGGTTATATACCTACTGATATCACTACCTGATATATTCCTAAAATTATTATCCAGAGCCGAAAAAAAAAATTAATGTGACAAGAACATTATTTGGGTAAAAATTTGGAAATCAAAAATCAAGGCCTTCGATTTCATTCTGTGATGCTCAAAATTATTGTAGATACCAATAATAATCATAAATAAAAAACCGCTCTGAATAAAGAAGAATCCCCTCTGGGTACGGCACTGTGAGATGAAGAAATGAACCATAATGATTATGAATCATTCATTATCTCACAGTATTTATGACAATGTCACAAAATAGCTTGAAAGTTGAACTCCCAACTTCTTTATTCTTTCATCTCTTAGTTAAATTAGCAGATGTGTCAGTTACAGTAAACTCGGAGGATAGTGTAACTGGAAGTGGAGCCTTAGTTTCACTGTCAATTTAACGATTGATAAACCGTTCCTTTAGTGGGTCATCATTACTGTTATATAAACTGGTCAACAGTAGTCACGGAATCACCAAAAATGAATGATATCAGGTGAAATTGAACTTCATACCTACATGGGTTGAAATTTTCCAGCCCCTATGCGAGCCCCTATGGTACATTTTTCATTACAGACCGGTAAAACGTAAGTTTCTTGGGTGAACTGCATGGTTTTGCCGTAAAAAAATATCGGTCAAGGTCTATCTTTGCTCTTTATCATGAATCTACATTGACAGTATTTGTTGTTTGAAGTCTTGAATGAAAAGGTAAGTGCGAAACATATTTGCGAAATAAAAATAGTGGATGATAGGTATTATACGAGAACAATAGCAACGTTTTCCTTAGAGCATTCATCATCATGCAAGGACTTCTGCATATCTCTCACTTCGAAATGTACTCAGTGTAATTTCAACCAGTGAGAAGAGATTCATGAAGGATCCTCGTGATGCCCAAGTAACGAAGAATTCGAATATTTTCAAATCCCAAAACTGAACCTAGCTTCCACTAAAAATATCATTCATAGTCTCGCGGGTAGCGATTTTACCACAGTTAAAAGAATATACAATATATTGTATATTCTTTTAACTGTGATTTTACTAAATATAAACTATTGCAGCACAAACCACGCCCACCATAATACGTCATATCTCATACTGTGCTCCAACGCAAGAACTGAAGCTTTCTCGTTGTCAATCTCTTGTACGCAGTAAATTCATACACCCAAATGGTCTACTGGTTAGCGCTGTCGACTCTCAGTCTGAAGGTTCATGGTTCGAATCGCTGTGAACTCGAACTTTTTTTTGCAACTTTTTTTTTTCACCAATGTTTTTTTACTTCATTCTGGTTTTCCTTTTTCATAAAATATTTGAAGTCAAATAGGTTAGTGCGTTTAGGATAAACAGTCTCATTTTATTCAATTTTGTTGAAGAACTCAACTTTTGAAATATATTATTAATCAATGTGTTTCTACACTCCATTCGGTTTTCCTTCCTCAAAAATATTGCAATCAGGGATAGGTTAGTTCGTTGAGGATAAATAGTCTCTGAGTTTAGCCTAAGTAAAGTACTTTGAAGATGAGATATAACGTGGTATGTGCTACTTTTTCAATCGATTTATTTATATGAATCAGCTACGTTGTGCTGTCAAAGATTAGATTTTGCAGGATTGTGCTGGGCTCGATTATATTTTGCAATGCCGTAGTAGGGGGCGTGTCTTGTGCTGCAATAGTTTATATTTAGTAAAATCGCATCCGGGTAACCCTGAAGGTGGGATGAATACTAATGATAAGAAGTATATGAAATGAATTGAATTTTTATTCTAGGAAATCATGTTTATAAATTTTTTTGTTTTCGAATATTGAGTTTCGAACGAAAGAGCTTCTATTGAAGTTCCTCCCAAATAGTTTGATAACTAGATCAGTTTTTAATAATTACAGAGTAAACAGACTTAATTTGGATATCCCTGTAAAAACTGCGAGACAATTTCGAGCCAAAAACAATAATATGTTATGCCACTGAAACTGTCACACTTTTTATTTACTAATTTGAATAATATTTTTTACAATTAATTACCTACCATATACGAAAAACTCAAGATAAAAGCGTTAAAAGTGACAACCAGCTATAATCAGTTGATTGTTATGTTTAGATATATAGAAAAACAGGTCTACAAAAATATCAGAAATAAATTTGAAATGGGTTGTGTTTGGAAGCTGTTTTCTATCTCTTCCTTATTATGCATAATTCAATCGCAGCTCAACAATGGTAAAGGACTTCGAATTTCATTATTATTAGATGTGCTTTAATTGAATTGTTTGATTATATTACCAATAACTGTTGACAGGTGAGATCTCTTTATTATTGAGTACTTTTTGAAGGCATATGTTCCGTTAATTCGAAAATATTCTTATATTACTTACCTATAAGAACTCATTAATTCATTCTTATAAAATTGGGATATTCTCTCCTCGAATAATTGTAGAAAGGACAATTATTTTTTTAAACAAGGTGTCAAATCTTTAGGGACGGTGAAGGAAGAATCCAACTAAAATATTTTCGTTATTGTGAAGTTTCCGGTTTTTTCGGAGGTGAAATCATATTCGTTATAGTCAATTTTAGATATACTATATACATTAAATTCATGAAGCAACAAGTATTAATTCCACACGAGTCAAAAGTTATTGGAGTTTCGATTTGTTTTTAGAGTAAGCATATAATGGAGGCTAGTAGTAGTTGTAGTGTAGTATTGTGGGGAGGCTGTAGCCAGGCAAGTAGGCCCCCATGGGCCCTTTTTGCCAACCCCTGATCTCCACATAGCTGCACATCCCTCTTTTAGTTGTCCTTTTCAAACCTTCCCGTCCTTCTAATGGAGGTCAGGATGCCCGTCCACTCTAATTCGGCCAAATCTTCCTGTTGTAGTTTATCTACTCCAAAGATTTCGAATCTCATCCTTCCATACGCCTCACACTCTCCGAGGAAGTGAAGTGATGTCTCCTCATCTTCTCCGCATTCACGGCAAGTGAGACTATCTTCCACACCTATGAGTGGTGTCTGCGTAACCTGTTGTGCCCTGTCAGTACCCCTATAAGAAGGCGCAGGACTTGGCGATCCCTACCCAGTAACCAAGCCGTCTTTGGCTTGCTTGGACCGGCCACCAGGTCTCTCGATTGCCTGCAGCCGCCTATACGCCTGAACGCCTCCAATATCCTTCTAGTGCCTCGTCCGCCCATTTCTTAAGGGCAGACGGAGTTTGGCTTCTTGTTATGCCTAGTGCAGGCTCCGGTCCCCAGAACGGTGTCGCGGATCCGATTCTAGCCAGCTCGTCGGCCACCTCATTCCTGGGCACCCCCCCCCCCCCCTAAGACCCGGAATGAATGATTGCTATAACTTTTGTTATTTCAAAATGTACTACTCAAAATAATCTCACAGGTGGTCTGTGCATATGTTTGTTCGATCATTTCCTGGCCTCCTGTGTGCAAAATTACGATTATATGTTTGGCATCATTTTATTTCGATAACTGAGAGTTATTAGTTTTTATTGTCAAACTAGAGAGATGATAACTGATGTCGTTGTATCATGCAGGGACAATTTCTATGGCTATTTATCATCGACTCAGACTTCAAAAATGTTTTTCTGGAATCTGCATTTTTGTGAAACGGTGAAACTTTTTGTCCCATGACAATCGCCCAATATTCTGGAGATGTCTTCAAGAAAACAGATAACACTTGTGGAAATAAATTACAATGTCTGCTTCTTCATTAATATTTCATACCACTTTAAGCATTTTGATTATTTTGTAGTTGAAAACGAAGACGATGTCACAAAAAATGAATCTCATTTACTTTTGAAAATTTAATATTTGCAAAAAATACCCCGTAACACTGAAACAATAATATGGATATCAATTTAGGGTTCTTACAATTGAGTACATCATGAATATTGAAAGTTTCTGATTTGGCCTATCCTGATGTACGACATTTTGATAGATATATCAACAGGACATGCTCTTCAGAAATCTCTACTATCATTCCATCACTAGCCAGATGAACACAACAGGCCCAGTCAGCACATTTTTTTGTTGTCAACCACGAAATATGACAAAAGGCATGTTTATCAAAACTCGTTTGTCTATGTATAGAACGGCAAAGATCTGGAATTCATTGCCTAACGAAGTAGTCCCAAAAACTAACAATCCTCAAAAGTTTAAAAAAATTCCAATACCTAACTCCTATCCCTATCCTCCCTATGTACGCACGATGTTCCTCGAACATTATAGGGATTATCTTTCGTGCGCTCCAAGCGATCAGAATAAATAGAATATGTGATCAGTTATCAAATTGAAATAATGCAAACATAATTTCCTATCTTTGTGATATAATTTTCATCACAGACGGTCCCATATGGGATGAATCAGACTCAAGGCATATAGATCATCTGAAGTTTTTTGAGAAGTGAACCTTGAAATATAAATTTTCAATTTACATTCTATTACTTTCAAATTTCCTTGGCGAAACTTGTATTTTCTTTCGTACCCCAATTTTGAACTGAAGCGATCTTCCATGATTTTGGAAACATCTTGTATACAATATTCTGATGGCCTAAGCCAGATAACTAGTTTCTATGAAATGCAACAAAAATATCATCGTCGTGAATTTGTCACATGAGTGTGATCCAAAAATATGATATAATCATGAAAATCATAATAATATATGATACCTAATGATGACAATATCTTTTCAGTGACAGAACAATTTTTTCATCTCTTCGGAGGACACACGTAAGTCATATCAAAACATGTCATTATATCTAGAAATATTTTCATAAAACCGTTGCAACAAACAGTGATCCTATGTTCACATTAAAATAGTGGTGAATGATAAAAAAATCATAACAATCTCGCCAGACAATATTTGAATTGATTTTAACATCTTTTACTTCCTTTGAAATTCTCAATATTCTCATGTCTGAAGGAGTTTTAACTTCGAAATCACTCAATATAGATGATAATACAGTGTATCATCGGTGTAAAGAATTTCGTTCTTTTTTTCTGATAATACAATTCGATAATTCGAATTCTACATTTTGATTTTTAGATATAATCAGAGCGAGGTTGACTACATAGCCAACCTTGTGAAGAATGCAGAAAAGAATGGGCACACTTATCAAGTGCATGAGAACACCTACGAATATAAGCCGACGAATATATCTAACATTGAAGGTGAGCTGAACGGAAAGTGAGGAATTCGGAAAAAATCATGCGACCCAATAAAACAAAATTTTATCATCACTGGGCCTTGAACTGTGGAATTTCTCAATCGTAGGTGATTATTCGTACAGAGGAATAGAAAATATTGTCGAATTTGTATAGACTACCATCTAAAGGAGCATTGCTGATCAGATTACATTCAAAATTTAGTACTTTTCCTGCCTCAATTCAAACCCAGGGTTTGTGATTAAATTCTACATTTTCTTGGCCCATTATCTTAGTCTGATCTATAACACTGACCTCTGGTTTACTGTATGCACCTGTTATGGCATTCTTCATTGTTGCTACCTAGGCATCCTGATAAACTCAGTTTGTGAGAGTAGGTGAAGTAAAAATCATCTTCATGAAAAATCTGGTGCCAGAGATATCCGAAATAGGTACCAAATCCCAAAGTGAAGATTGTAATTGAGTGTGATCAAGTTTCAACAATTTTTTTGTGCTATTGAAATGGGCAGTCTATTATGGGAAACCCTGTACAACACACCATAAGCGGTGTATCGTTACCTGATGCAGAACATGAGGCAGAAAAAAAGAGCAAGTGCGATTCGTATTTGTATTATATTTATTTGTGACCATTTGGTTTCAAAGGAGAATTCAGTTCCTAGTTACGGAAAAGTTGGTGTAGTAATGGTATAGGCTATTCGAACTCAATTGGAGCATCTCCAGGAAAAAACATACGTAAGGCGGTGTAGATTTCTTTGAAGTTCCTGCACGTGGCAAACATTCCTTGCTCGAGAGGCTCCAACTGACTTTGGATAAACTATACTTACCAATTATATTACATAAACATCACTTGAATAGTTCAGTAGGTAGATGTTTAATTTCACATGTGTCCTCAACATTATCTGCGAAAGTTTGGTGAAACTGATGTATTTCATTATACATATATTGATATATATATACCTTCTTCACTCCATTATTTTGTGTTCCTCTGTGAATTATCGCGGAAGCATTGATTGCTTCATTTATTTCAGTCTCGACACTCTCGACAGAGGAATTATTCTGGCATTGAAAATGATGATTCCAAAGGTATAGGGTAGCTTCAGAAATACTAAACATATTTGTTTCATTCAGATTTTGGTACTTTCGACTTCATCGTAGTAGGCGGTGGATCTGGAGGTTCGGTAATAGCCAGCAGATTAACGGAAATCAGAAACTGGACAGTGCTCTTGATAGAAGCAGGCGGCTTTGGAAATGATGAGACAGACATTCCTTTCCTCTCTACAGCAATAAAGTTCTCTCGATATAACTGGGGGTTTTTCTCCACACCCCAAAGAACATGTTGCCAAGGTAATTAGTATCATCATTATCAAGTATATCTAAGCAGGAATACATATCAGGTGGAAACGGATTTAGATACACGTCTTTATCGACTTCTTTGTTCAATTGGAAGTTATCTTAGGTGAGGCTTCGTGAGACCAAGTCTTAATAAATCTAACCAAGACCAAGACCAAGACTTGACTTTCGAGACCAATACCAAGACCAAGACTCTCTTGGTCTCAAATGAAGAAAAAAAAGAACTTGAATTCACTCAATATTAAGAAAAATCTGATGGAAAATGTAATGGCATTTTATTTCAGTTATTCATTTGTCATATGGTAGGTTTTTCACTCAAAATCCGAAATACATTTTTCAAATTCAGTATCTCAGTTTTGGAGTACACAACAAATAGGTGTATGTTGTAAGGTCACAGTGGTCCATACCTCCTCCTATTGAAGATAGAAACAAATTCAATACAAAAGTTATTTGGTTTGAATTTGAAATATTTTGAAGTATTTTGATAATGCGTTGTTGTCAGTTCCGACCCTTTTGAACCTTTTTTCTGACCTGTCGGGCATCGGCCTGTTTGCTGTTTGGGTCTCATTTAATGTTTATTTAAGGTTGTCTTTCGGTATTTTTGAGATTGCGGAGCTCAATGAATAATATGAAATTTTCGTGATATGGATTCACGCCAATGAAGATTGATAATATGCGGTAGGGAGTTATTGAGATTGGTTGAAGGTAGAGTTGAAGGTACGTATGTTTCAAGGACACAGAAAAGATGCAATAGCCTTTTTACAGGGTGGTTTTCAGAGAATGAGAATGCATTCGCCTACGAGTCTTGGCTGATCTATTGAGTTCACCAATGACAATTGATCAGAATGAACGTTGTCCGAAAAAACAGAAAATATAATCATTAATACAGAGTGATCCAAATATCAGAAGATACCAATATGTCCTATGTTATTCTCTGAACCTTTTTTACGAAATACAAGACGATTCACGAACACAAGTCATCACTCTCTGTCTACTTTGCCGTTATATCCGTATGCAAAATATCCATGTTTTTTCGAGAGGAATTCGAAAGAATAATGGAATGTTATAATATATTAAGCCAGTGTATATATTGTAGATACCATCAATATGGAAGGAAACTCTTTAAAGCGCTATGTTCAAGAACCATCGTGAATACCTATAGGAAGTATATAGGGGGAAAAGGTAGGTCGATATTGAAATGTTCTTTTTCTTTTGGAGAAAATACTTCCTCAAAAATACACAAGATTCATGATGTTTCACCCTCTAGCGCCGAATCTGATCATACGATCGAGTTGGGCCTTTTACTCAGAATGACTTCAGCTACAACATATCAGAAATCCAGCCATTTTCACCGAAATACTACTTTTATTTTTCGAGACCACGAGTGATCAGTCTTGGTCTTGGTCTTGGTCTCACGAAGCCCTAATCTTAGGACAACAACAAGAGATTGAAATCAAGATAATTCGAATTGATTCCTTTGTTACAGGAATGATAGATCAAAAATGCTCCATAGCCCAAGGAAGAGGTATTGGCGGTACCAGCTTGATCGATGATCTAGTTTACTCAAGGGGTTCTAGCATCGACTTCGATAAATGGGCAAAATATGTTAAGGATGAAAGGTGGTCCTACAAACAGGTTCTGCCATACTTCAAAAAATCGGAAAAGTATACTCATCGTGATCGAAGGTCTCCTGTAGTCAATTCGATGCATGGTAAAAAAGGTCTGCTCAGCGTGAGTAATTTTTTACCAGAGAGTCCACAGCTGCAAGCTTGGCTGAGGGCGAATAAAGAATTAGGATACCGAATCGCAGATTATAATGCTGGGACAGGTTTGGGATCATCTCCTGCACAACTATGCACGAAAGATGGTAGAAGGTTAGTACTTATGTTGTACCTGCTAGATCTCATAACTAAGATATCCAGGATAAACAGAGTTGCCCCAATTGTCAGCAGGAGCGAGACAGTACTGTTTCGACCCACCAGGTCTCATCAGCCGCTCTTGGTCTGCTGACAACTGGGACAACTCTACGCTTAGGGTATATCACCCATTTCGAAGACGCAGGGTATAACATGATGTTATAGTCATGTTGTAGCCATCAAGTGCTAAACTCTAAGGTAGGATCCAGAGATCGCCACACACACTGTATGGCGCTGCCACGTTCAGACCCCTACGTCTATACGCTACAGAGTAGAAAGAGATGATGATGTGGTTGTGAACATCAGAGAAGAAGTAGAACGGTGTATGTAGGTGGATGTGGAAAACTACCAGCTAAGCGTGAAAGCCGACCAATGCTGCTTAGTGGACCTTGGTCTCTAACAAGGGTTAACGAGGTAGCTGGCAGGCCTGCCACTGCAGCATATGGTAGTGAGTACAATTCTAGCCTACAAAACACAGCCAAAAAACTCTGAAAGAGAACTGATGGACGGTACCTGAAAAGGATGTTAGCCAGCTCGCGAACCACATCACCCATTAAAAACACATTGGGTCTTGCAAGAAAGGTTCCATTGGGGACTAGTTACTGATGTGTAAACGTACCAGTACCAGTACCAGTCACGTCAGTCGTTATAACATCGCAGACAGTTCGGTGGTGCAGATTAGATGTTAGACGAATAAAACTTCATCAGACCTATCTATACGCCAATGCTGCCACGTTGGTAGCATTGAAGTGGGAGCTTGAAGAGGAGAGAGCTTTTCTGTCTCTCTCGTTCAAGGTCGAGAGCAGCTCACTTGAAATTAATCGCCATTAGGGAAACACTTGCATTAGTATTCGTTTATACGTATCGATGCATAGATTTCGGTAGGATGTAATTCAATGTTCTGCATGGCATTAGCCAGGAAAGTAGTTGTTTTTCTCCTGTCATCTACCATTGTTGTTCATTTTATAAACATTGTTCATTCTATTGACATCTGTGGAAATGACTCCGAGCTTTTTTGTATTCATTTCGATAATTCATTTCAGGTTCGACGATGGAAAAGCATTCATACGACCGTTCATAAACAGACACAATCTCAATGTCTCCATCAACAGCTACGTTACCAAAATCCTTATAGATCCGATGACCAAAACTGCTGAGGGAGTTATTTTCTCCACGTTAGATAAGAAACAGTACAGAGCTCTAGCATCCAAAGAAGTTATCTTGTGCGCTGGCGCTATGAATTCCCCACTTCTTCTGATGCTCTCTGGGATTGGTCCAAAGAATCATTTGAGGTCCTTGAGAATACCGGTGATCGAGAATCTTGAAGTAGGGAGTTATTTGAAAGATCATCCTGCATTCGAGGGACTAATTTTCGATTCTAACTATACGGAACCAGTTAAACCAGTCACTGAATATGTTGAGGAATATTTGAGAGGAGTTGGTCCATACACTATCGCAGCAAGTAATCAAGGAGTTGGGTTTTATGAATCTTCACGTACTAAAGGTAAATCAAAGATATGATTGAAATAATGAATGAATGAAAATGAATTGGTGTGGTTCACCAGGAATTATTTGACGTTTTATGTGAATCTCAGATGATTTTAATGTTCAATCTATAGTTCTAACTCATAATTATCCTTATGTAATCTCTGGTTCAGCTTATTGATAGAAATGAGATGATTTATGTTACTCAGCAGAGGTTTAGGATCTAGAGATAACCTAACATCTTGATCTGCTATGTGATATTTTAGAATGACAACTCAATCTCTGCATAAAAATAATGATGGATTGAGATATAACGGATAATGAAGATGCAATTGTGTATCTTTCAATGCATATTATTAGGTTATAATCCTTTGGAAAAAAAAGTAAGGAAGAATAGTAGATATTGAGGTTTGAAATACTTGAAGATATTTTGCAGATGCAGACCTAATTGCTCATAAAATTGCCAAGGAAACTAATTGGTAAGGCGGTGTAAATTATTGCAGAAAAAATGCGATATTTTAGAACCCAATTGATTGTCATGATTAGATTTTTTTAGATGGTTTCAATCGTTTTTAGCAAATTGCTTTCCTTTCAAGATATTTCTATGTCAATGTGCATACAGTCATTCTTTTTCTATCAACTTGACCTGTTTTTCTGTGGAAAAACCATCGTTAAGAATTGATTGGTTTGAAAGCTTGAATTTTTGAGGTATTTTCAATAGATTTTCCCAAATAGCTTTCCTACCAAGATACCTATGTTATTCAATGTTGATAGAGCCATTCTTCTACCTATAGGCCAGGCAATGAAGTAGTCCGTGGGAAGTGAAGTGCCACTTTGATCCCAAAGAACTGGGGTAAAGTGCTACTTTATTCATATTTTATATTAGATTACTGATTTACACTTATTTTGTTCAATGTTTTGTATAATAGGTACGCCCAATTATCTGTACCACACTTTTGACTTGCTACAAATGTATTTATGCATAACGTGGTTAAATAAATTCTATTCTATTCTATTCTATATATGTCCGGTCGTGCATAATTGCATTATTGTGCCCAAATGATAATATTGAATTGAATTATATGGACATTACTTCGCAGCTAGAATGAGCAAGGTCAATCTATTTTTCAGGAACAGGATATCCTGATATCGAGATATTGATGGTACCAGCTAATGCAACAAATCCTTTTTCCCAGAGAAAATCCTCTTTCACCGAACAAACCTACGCAGACCTCTGGGAAGGCTCCAACCAGATTCAAGCTTACAGGATGGTCGTCATACATCTTCATGCCCAGTCGACAGGAACACTGAGGCTAAAAAGCGCCGATCCCTATGATTACCCTCTCATCGACTTGAATTTGTTATCTGATTGGTGGTGGCAGAGAGATATTGGGACGTTGTACGAGGGAGTGCAGATCGCTCTCAACTTAGCCAGTACTGAAGCTCTGCGAGGTATTGGTTCACAACTCAGAAGTGGGCCATTGAAGGCTTGCCAGAACCACGAATACTTGTCGAAGAGGTACTGGTATTGTGCTTTGAGACAGCTGACTACGAATATCCATCGCCCTGTTTCGACGTGTCCCATGGGTCCGAATACTCGTAGAGGCGATGTGGTGGATGCTGTAGGAAAGGTCCACGGATTGAAGAAGCTGAGAGTTGCTGATGCTAGCGTGTTTCCCTTCTCCTTAGCTGGGCATCCCAATGCCGCTGTAGTATTGGTGGCTGAAGTCATATCAGATTTTATAAAAATGGAATACAATGGGATTAAATAACTCGATGATAACTATAGGAATCATTTTATTACAGACTGCCATTTTGTTTCCGTATATTTCGGTCTGATTATGAACAGAATACCGGGTGACACAGGGTATCGGGCCACCCCTGTAACTTCTGCATTCGTCAACGGATTTTTCTGAAATTTGGTACAGTTATATAAGCAATTATTTCGGATTTGATCACATTACAATCCAATATGGCGGACTTCCGGTATTTCTGGAAATGCCAGCAACTTTGTTTTTTCAAATGAAACACCCTGTATATTTTTACATATTCAAGTTCAACAGGTCGAAACAAGTGCAATCTTTATTTCAAATGTCAATTTTTCGAAAAAATTTAAATTAAAATTGTTTTTTCATTTTACCTCGTGGATAAATGAGATGTGGTCAAGACTATTCACAATGAGTCACACATAACAGAAGAACATATTTTTTTCTGAAAAATGTTTTTTTGTGTCACTTATCCAGGAATCAATTCAGCCACATCACTTTTTGATCAAAAATTATTTTTTTTCAAATGGAACCCCTATGGGCCACCTACCCGTCTCTCTAGAACATACATTAAGGAACAAAATGACATATCATTTTTGTTTTTCGGTGCAGTAACAAATTGTATAGATTCAAAAATCAACGACTAGTTTATGAATTTCCTTGCAGTTAGAATAATTTTTCAACTAGGTAGGCTGTGGAATAAATGACATTTGACATCAAGATTGCGCTTGTTTCGACCTGTTGAACTTGAATATGTAAAAATATACAGGGTGCTCCATTTGAAAAAACAGAATTGCTGGCATTTCCAGAAAAACCGGAAGTCCGCCATATTGGATTTTAATGTGATCAAATCCGAAATAGTTGCTTATATAACTGTACCGAATTTCAGAAAAATCCGTTGACGAATGCAGAAGTTACAGGGGTGGCCCGATTACCTGTGTCACCCGTATACAGGAACTCTGAGATAATAAAAAAAAAATTGGATTCAGATAGAACCTGAGGAGATAGAGAATGCTTTTTTTTTCTAGTAGCTCTCCTGTAACTTCTGATGTAATTGATATAATTCAATGTGAATTCAACATGCGGTGCAATATCAAGGGCCCCTTGGAATACTAAAAGAATATGAAGCTTCCTTTGGAGTGGACGAAGTTCTATCACTATTACTCAAATTATCACCACCTTGTATGATGAAAGCCTGAAAAAAAATAGCTTGAACTACTAAATAAAAAGAGGTACTCCTGTTTAATGATCATTCCAGAATTACGCCATTTGACAGGTCACTAGAGGGCAAACATTTCATTATGTTAAGATTTATCATATCAAACCAGAATTAGTGGGATCGTTTTCCGTTGGAACCAGTAAGAATTTCATAATTTTGTTTGGTGAAACTGATCATTATATTGTGAATGGGGGCAGTGATGGTCAGTGCAATGCAAAACAAAGGTAATCTGACAAATAATTAAATAATTAAAATGGTCAATTACCGATCAGATACTATCCTACAACCAATAAATAGAGTAGCATTTGACGCTGTCCAATTTTGACACAAAATGTCGTTCGCTATGAAATGTCAATATTTGAAAGCAAAAATGCAAAACCTATTTCGGTATGATGAAAATTACTGTCAGTGAAGTAACAAACACTAGCTCCCCTGTTGTTTCCTGGAGCAACATTATTTGTTTCGATTATCATCAAAAAAACAGGTTGTGTTTTTTGAGATTGATTCACTTGTTATTTCATGAATAAAACAATAATTTCATGTCGTAATTTCATTTGCAGCTGTTGCGTTATGCAACTGACGATACATTAAAGACATCAATGCACTCTGCTGCTGGTGATTCATTTTTTTTTTTGGCAACCATCCCTTTCTTTGAGAGAGTAGTATTCTTCCGGCCTAGTCCAGGAAGTACGTATACTTCCCGGAAGACCGGGAAGGATCACGTCGTTGTTGTTATTGTTAATATGGAAATCTTCTGAATGGTATGGTTTGGATAAAAATGCAGTTGATCATTACCATAGGAGCGAAATAACAACTGACAACTTTTTGACAGTTTGCATGGTTTGAGGTCGTAATTATTGATGACCTATGGAAGACAGTAGCAATAGTGAGTTTGAAAATGTACCATAAAAAATTCAAAATGCAGTAGCTGCTGCTACAGCACAGCGAGGCTCTGGAAAACATTGCCAAGGGAAGTGTTCCCCGAGGCATATAACCTCCAGAAATTTAAGAAGAACACCAATTCCTACCTTATTTCCCTTGGTTCTCACGATGTTCTCTGAACATTAAAGGATATCCCTTTTCGTGGGAAGCAGAACATAAAAAAAATCAAAATTATAGATTACAATTGATCAGAGTATTGTTCAGTTTTGGAATCAATGGGAAATCTTACTTCACTTGAATCATAAAACTTCAATGACCTGGGTCATTTTCTCGATTGAACATCTATTCCGAATGACGCAATGTAAGTGTTTTCGTAATAGCAGAGTGTTATTTCATATTGGTGATGATCATTCTATTCATGAATTCCAAAGTGAACTCTTCGATTTTCCTGATATTGGCAAATGTCATCAAGAAATCACTAAAATATTGATGATAATTGGATAGTGTTTGTAGAGATCGGTCAACATCGCTAGGACAACGACTGCACGATCATCGTTGCGCATATCTCTGAAACAATAAAGAAAAAGAATATATCAGTATCAGCAAGCAGTTGAAGAGGTCGAAACCAATCCAAAACTTGTGAAAAGATGTCGAATTATAAAATGGCCCAGTCCATCTACGACTTCAGCGTGAACGACATCGACGGCAATCGAGTTCCTCTAGAAAAGTACAGAGGCCACGTTTGCATCATTCTGAACGTTGCCTCTCAATGCGGCCTCGCCAAATCCAACTACTCCGAGCTCGTGGATCTCTACGAGGCTTACTCGGACTCCAAGGGGCTCAGGATCCTGGCGTTTCCCTGCAACCAGTTCGCAGGAGCGGAGCCTGGCTCGGGAGCAGAAATCTGTGAGTTTGCGAAGCGACACAAGGCCAGGTTCGATTTCTTCGAGAAGATCAATGTGAACGGGGCAGACACGCATCCCCTGTGGAAGTATTTGAAGCACGAGCAGGGGGGTATTTTGGGGGACTTCGTCAAGTGGAACTACACCAAGTTTATCGTCGACAAGAAGGGTAAGCCTGTGGAGAGACATGGGCCGAATGTCAGCCCGAAAGATCTCGTTACTTCGTTGGAGAAATATTGGTAGTGCGTTGCTCCAAGAGAAGGGTATTTTCTAATTATTCTTGACTCACGTATCTTGTATGGGAAATAAAAATCCGATAGACGTTGGAAATGTGACAATATATATTCATTCATTTGCATACTTACATTGAATCCTTGATTATTGAACAAATCAAAGATTGAATGTAGAAAAAATGGTAGGTATATGAAAGAGTCGTATACCGTCCCAATGACCCTTGTTGAAACTTTTGCTGCATATGGAGTTCGACATTGCTCCAATATAGCAAAACATGAGGAAATTAAATGCTGCAGAATCTCATCTCCTGTGGAAGTATTTGAAGCACGAGCAGGGGGGTATTTTGGGGGACTTCGTCAAGTGGAACTACACCAAGTTTATCGTCGACAAGAAGGGTAAGCCCGTGGAGAGACATGGGCCGAATGTCAGCCCAAAAGATCTCGTTACTTCGTTGGAGAAGTATTGGTAGTGCGTTGCTTCAAGAGAAGGATATTTTTTAATTATTCTTGACTCACGTATCTTGTATGGAAAATAAAAATCCGATAGACGTTGGAAATGTGACAATATATATTCATTTATTTGCATACTAACATTGAATCCTTGATTATTGAACAATCAAAGATTGAATGTAGAAAAAATGGTAGGTATATGAAAGAGTCGTATACCGTCCCAATGACCCTTGTTGAAACTTTTGCTGCATATGAAGTTTCACATTGCTCCAATATAGCAAAACAAGAGGAAATTAAATGCCGCAGAAGCTCATCTCCTGTGGAAGTATTTGAAACACGAGCAAGGGGGTATTTTGGGAGACTTCGTCGAGTGGAACTACACCAAGTTTATCGTCGACAAGAAGGGTAAGCCCGTGGAGAGACATGGGCCGAATGTCAGCCCAAAAGATCTCGTTACTTCGTTGGAGAAGTATTGGTAGTGCGTTGCTTCAAGAAAAGGGTATTTTTCAATTATTCTTGTCTCACGTATCTTGTATGGAAAATAAAAATCCGATAGTAGTTGGAAATGTGACAATATATATTCATTTATTTGCATACTTACATTGCATCCTTGATTATTGAACAATCAAAGATTGAATGTAGAAAAAATGGTAGGTATATGAAAGAGTCGTATACCGTCCCAATGACCCTTGTTGAAACTTTTGCTGCATATTGAGTTTCACATTGCTCCAATATAGCAAAGCAAGAGGAAATTAAATGCTGCAGAAGCTCATCTCCTGTGGAAGTATTTGAAGCACGAGCAGGGGGGTATTTTGGGGGACTTCGTCAAATGCAACTGCACCAAGTCTATCGTCGACAAGAAGGGTGAGCCTATGGAGAGACATGGGCCGAATGTCAGCCCAAAAGATCTCGTTACTTCGTTGGAGAAGTATTGGTAGTACGTTGCTCCAAGAGAAGGGTATTTTTTAATTATTCTTGACTCACGTATCTTGTATGGGAAATAAAAATACAATAGACGTTGAAAATGTGACAATATATATTCATTCATTTGCATACTTACATTGAATCCTTGATTATTGAACAATCAAAGATTGAATGTAGAAAAAATGGTAGGTATATGAAAGAGTCGTATACCGTCCCAATGACCCTTGTTGAAACTTTTGCTGCATATGGAGTTCGACATTGCTCCAATATAGCAAAACAAGAGGAAATTAAATGCTGCAGAATCTCATCTCCTGTGAAAGTATTTGAAACACGAGCAGGGAGGTATTTTGGGGGACTTCGTCAAGTGGAATTACACCAAGTTTATCGTCGACAAGAAGGGTAAGCCTGTGGAGAGACATGGGCCGAATGTCAGCCCGAAAGATCTCGTTACTTCGTTGGAGAAGTATTGGTAGTGCGTTGCTTCAAGAGAAGGGTATTTTTTAATTATTCTTGACTCACGTATCTTGTATGGGAAATAAAAATACGATAGACGTTGAAAATGTGACAATATATATTCATTCATTTGCATGCTTACATTGAATCCTTGATTATTGAACAAATCAAAGATTGAATGTAGAAAAAATGGTAGGTATATGAAAGAGTCGTATACCGTCCCAATGACCCTTGTTGAAACTTTTGCTGCATATGGAGTTCGACATTGCTCCAATATAGCAAAACAAGAGGAAATTAAATGCTGCAGAATCTCATCTCCTGTGGAAGTATTTGAAACACGAGCAAGGGGGTATTTTGGGAGACTTCGTCGAGTGGAACTACACCAAGTTCATCGTCGACAAGAAGGGTAAGCCTGTGGAGAGACAGGGGGCCGAATGTCAGCCCAAAAGATCTCGTTACTTCGTTGGAGAAGTATTGGTAGTGCGTTGCTTCAAGAGAAGGAACGGTTTTTAATTCTGCAGTCATCATGGGATTGGTATTTTTAAATTATCCTTGACTCACGTATCTTGTATGGGAAATGAAAGTTTTATCGACAGTGAAAATGTGACAATATAAATTTATTCATTTGCACACTTATACATTGAATGTAGAATATATGGAATCGATGAATCCATTTGGACCAGGTGTCAGGCCTAATAGCAAATATCTCGAAAGTGCCAGGGATACGAGAAAAAGTGGAAAATGTTATGTTGATGAGAATATATTATTAATTTCTCTATATATTCCACTCTGTTTGGCTCGGTGATCAAATGACCGTGAACAATATCGTTGTGTGAGACAAAAAAGTATTGCTGGCCGTGTTATTCAAAAACAAGTTATCCAATCAATCAGATTCCAAGAATAACGATTGATAAAGAGATCAAGCAAGTGTGTGCATCTTGAAGACTTCTCTGATCAAAATGAAAATACTTAACTATATGGTGTATTCACATCTCCAGCATGGGTATGAAATGCCAAAATCTGAAACAAATCAGGTATGCGTACCAACCCCATCAACCAATCGTAACAATGTTGTTAATTCTTGATGACCTAGTACATCCCTTTCAGTTCCTAGGAGCTAAAGTTCAACTCTAGCTCCTACCTAGAACTACAGTGAGCAAAAATTAATAGGTATATATGACTAAACGGTGGAAGATTTACACATTAATGTGATTATTCGAGACAACGTAGAACATTGCCTTTTTGAAATTGTTTTCGTTTCAAGAATTCCTCAGGAACCTGCATGTCTATATCAAGCACAGTTGCGACCATTCAATGTACATACAAGTTTTGAATCGCCCTATATACATTGCAGAATGATTGCAATTCGATTATCGATTAAATACAATTGAACTCATCAACCTTCAATTTAGAAAGCTTATTCACCTGACTGTGGAGACATGCACCTAATCACTATTGCAATTCCAAGATTAGCTAAATAATGAATGCAAGACTGGTAGATTAGTCAAGATCAATGGTCACTTGTGAACTAGTTACATCATTCTACGAGAATTTCAGATTTTCAACGGTTCATGCGGAATTTGACTGTTTGTCAGCATATAGATGAGGAAATAGTATCATGGTTATTGAAGGTTCAATGAATGAATGAATCCGGATATTATTACATTCGCAGAAGTGCTGAAGGATATAGAATTCTTATCAGAATCTTCTCAATCTTTACCATTATAATAACACAAATCTTATTTTTTTAATTGACTTGGTCGTTACTGGATGGATATCCATGGCAAATGTTAAAACTTCACAAACGATAAGATTTACTAAACTCTCAATCACACGACCTGTTTCTCTAACACAGTAGCTTCATTAGGTCAAATACTGGTACAATGAACACTGAACTCTGAACTCAGAACCTATTTTATGGATCATGTGACCATATGGTCACATTATATCCAGAAGCGTTTATTCTTACTTTCCCGTAGTTCTTCGATTCACAGGCAACGAAACCATTTGGTAACGAACAAACTTAGGAGGGGGTACCAACAAACAAATCGATTTCGCGCCATCTTCGGCTGGCAGTACAACTAATTATAATTTGTGTTTGTGGTTACTGCGTCCATTATTTCGCATTTCGTTTAGGTGATTCTTTGGGAAATTCATAATATATGGTTGATTCATATGGATGGAGGGTTCATTCAAGAGCAGCTCTGGAAAACTCATGCACTTTACTCCCTCGATATATAACCTACTATCATTAGATATAAAACATGGAAATAAAAAAACGAAATGAATCAAATTGACATGCACATTCTGTTTACAGCCAAAATTACAATGAACAATTACAAGTGATCATAATCATAATCTATCTTGTTCAAACTGAAATTGCATTCTTCTAGAGTCTTCCAAAAATTTATCAATCAATTCGGTGATAAAATCAACTCTATCTCTATTTATAAGATGTCGATGAATACTCGTTAAACAAATTCTCTGAAAGCCACTATAATAAACGAATCAGAATAGGAATTGAATGATGAAAATGATATATCTTATTGTTGAGAAAGTATTTGAGTAAGGACCAGGCGCTAGGGGGGGGGGGAGTCAAGCACCCCCCTTGCGGACGGCCCTGCTAGCCGCAGCGTTTTTTTTTGTACATTCATATAGATCAACAGGTTTATTGATAGGTTGTCAATATATTCTTCAAATCTGTAACATTTCCATTCATAATTTCAAGGGTATTTAACTGCTTTTTCTGTTAAGGTGAATGACGATAGTAATACTATAGTAGTTGATATACCGCGTCATGTTTTTTTTATCGCTTGGAGCGCACGAAAGGAAATCCCTATAATGTTCGAAGAACATCGTGCGTTCCTAGGGAGGATAGGGACAGAAGGTAGGTATTGGAATTCTTTTTGAACTTCTGGAGATTATAATATGATGTTGGGAACACTCCCTCAGGCAATGAATTCCAGAGCCTAGCCGTTCTATGGATGAAGGAGTTTTGATAAAGTGCTGTTCGACATCTTTCGAGGCTGACAACACAAGGATGTGCTGACTGGGCTTGTCTAGTTCGTCTGACTGGTATTGCTAGTGAAGGGATGATAGCAGAGATTCCCGAAGAACATTTCTCGTGGAAGTATCGATAGAAAAGTGGAAGGTCGCCGACCTTTCTACGGTGTTCCAAAGATGTCAAAGAGTGAGTGAGTGTGGCGAATGGCTCTTCTCTGGATGGAATCTAAGAGCATCAGCGTATGTATTGGTGCTGAACCCCATATGTGGAAACGGTATTCTAGAACAGGCCGTATCTGCACTTTGTAGATCATGAGAAGCTGTTGAGGTGTAAAGTAGCTTTTCGCACGGAACAAAAATCCGAGTTTTTGTAAAGCAGCTTCTGCGATGGATCTGACATGATTATCCCATGAAAGAGTGTTGCTGATCGAAATACCGAGCATAGATATGGTGGGCTTGGTGGGGATGGTGGTGCCAGACATTACAACATCGGGCATACCGAATTCCACCTTTCTAGAGAAAATACAGGCATGAGTTTTGGTGGCGTTGAATTCAACTAGGTTGTTGGTTACCCGGGCTGAGATTTCAGCAAGGTCTTCATTGACAGCAGTCACCTGCCTGCGCCTTGAGTTCTCAATTTCCTGGGAAGAAATGGGAATTCTGGAAGATAACGCAGTATGGAGGGTACTATCATCTGCAAAGCTGTGGATGGGGCAAGTTGTTACTCCCAACAGATCATTGATATAAAGAAGGAATAATGTTGGTGTCAAAATTGATCCTTGTGGAACGCTGAAATTGATGCCAATGGTATCAGACGATACACCGTCCACCACCACGTGAAGTGATCTGTCTGAAAGAAAACTCGATAAGAGATGGCATAGCTGAGGTGATAAGCCGTATGAGTATGATAGTAGTTTGTGGAGGAGTCCTTCGTGCCAAACACGGTCGAATGCTTTCGATATGTCCAACACGATTGCTAGAGATTCCCCGTGTTTTTCTAATGAAGCTTGCCATAAATGGGTGACGTAGGCAAGTAGATCTCCAGTAGATCTTTGGTGGCGAAAGCCGTATTGTCTATCATTGATGATTCCTGAGCTCACCAGATATTTGATAAGCTCAATATTGATGGCTTTCTCCATCACTTTGAGGATTACTGATAACAGGGCAATGGGCCTGTAGTTGTTGGGCAGGTTCTTGTTCCCTTTTTTGGGGATTGGTTGGACTCTAGCTGTCTTCCAGCCTGATGGAAAACTACCCAACACCAAGAATACACCAAACCATTTTCTCCAACTTAATTTGGTGGTGAATCAAAAAAATTTGACATTTTTTACAGGGGTAAATTTTTTTAGCATCACACATGTCGATATGATGGGTACATCAGACTCGATAAGAATTGTCATAGCACACTCAAATGGAAAATCAAAAATAAAATCAATATTGAACTTTGAAATGTTACTCATAAGGTATCATTTGATTCAGACAATATTGCAGGATTCGAAAATGCAATGATATACAGGGTGTTGCATTTGAAAAACGAAAGCTATTATCATTTTCGGTGAAACTGATGGAAGTGGCAAATGAAACTTATTTATGTAAAAACATGACGTTTATCAAGTTAATTGGTCATTCCAAATTCCAATCACTGATCTCTCCAAAACTAGAAAAGAAAGAGGGTGTGCACTATGATCCTGTTTCATCCGGTATAGTTCATTAGGAAAACGATTATCATTTACTCAAATATTTATGATGAAGAACGCGAACGTGATGTCTGAAAAAATTCCATATCGATTACACGCTCGAATGACAGCACCAAACAAACAATATTATTTACCCAATTATTAATAACATTTCGACATTTTTGCAAAATTAGCGTATTGAAACAAACTTCCTAAATGATGCGAAATATTCACAAGAGATGATGGAAAGTAAACAATACAAACATTTATTACTTATGTATTGAGTGCAAATAAATATGTTATGAATATGAATAGAAATGAATAACAGTTTTATTTCAATTAATATCCAATGCAGTCGATGTCGAAAACATCTCCTAATTGAAAAATACAATTCGACGACATTTATTATTGATATTTTGGTTTTGTACTTATGATGTACCCATTATATATATCTACTGGGAAATGTCCGAAATTCTGTATATTGAACATCGGATATTATGAACTTCTTTGCCTAAATGTATATTATGACTATGACAGTTTGTTTGAATGATATACAATTTTAATCATCAGGCTTCTGAGTTTTATTTCAATTAATATCCAATGCATTCGATGTCGAAAACATCTCCTAATTGAAAAATACAATTCGACGACATTTATTATTGATATTGTGGTTTTGTACTTATGATGTACTCATTATATATCTATCGAGAAATGTCCGAAATTCTGTATATTAAACATCGGATATCATGAACTTCTTTGCCCAAATGTATATTATGACAATGACAGTTTGTTTGAATGATACACAATTTCAATCATCAGGCTTCTAAGAAACCC